TCTTATAATCGTAGTTTGAATATATATATCGTATGAAAGATCTACTTTTGCCAAAATTTTCAATCTTGAAAGCTAAGGTTCCATCAATTTCGTCATCAAAAAATTAAAAAATTACAGAATCAATATGGTTCGAAACAATTTTCTAAGAAACTGTACTATTCGAGCGACAAAAATTTGCAATTTAATGCAATAATTTATCAAATTCTGAAGATAACTAGTAACTATTCAAAGTATCTTAATTAATAGAAAACTACGGATATATTATTCCCATGCAACGATACCACAATAAATTATAGTGTACAAATATCAGCCAGATTGGAAAGAAATCATTTTTAAGATTGTTAGATTTTCAATTTTCTTTTCCTTGTGAATTAGCCATATTTTATCAATCGTTTTCAAACATTCAATTGTCTCTCTTTTTTATAAAATTTAAATTAATAACAAATTCATTCATTCACAGACATGCCATGTTTAAAATAATCCCAGAGAAAGGAATAACTGATGAAAAGATAAAAGCATGTTGACAACCTTGATTTATGTTCGACATTCAACATACTACTGTCTTTCTTAAATACACATTCGATTCATAACTACTATTCAAGCAATGACTTTCGATAAATGATCGATCCAATCGTAAGATAGACATTGCACAGTGGGCCGGCACGTTGCTAAAAGAATCTACAGAGTTCAGTCCAATTTCGGTACAACCTGTTTCTATACTTTCTCTACAGAGGAATCGAGAGTTAGCATAAATCTATGATTCCGCTTTCGTTTGATTTATCGAATTAACGACGAAAAACATATGGCTAAAAAAAATTTGCGGTGCAAATTGTGGCTCGAGGTCATTCCATTCCAGAATTCGTTTTTATCAACATTTAACAAACTCACAATTAATGGTGGCCACTCGATGGCCTCTGTAACAAAGTATCAGTGCATATTATTGTCCGCGAACAAGTTGCTCGATGAAAAGTTCAAACAGGAACGATCAACAATGGACAAATTGCAGAATAACCAAAGTGCATACTCGATACTATTACATTGTAAAGAGAAGCTAATCAAGTGCAATAAGATCGAACTAAGTGTCTTGTTAATAGAGGTGCGTTCTTTTTCGTGCTGCATCGCGGCAGAAATGACCGCCATGTTGACCTACTACGTACGTAGTTTAATATAATCGTTGGAAATTTCTCACGAGCGCAAACCTGCATACTAACCAAATGTCTACATTTCAATTGAATTTTGTTTACCCCTTACAGATACAATCGTTTTAGTTAAACTAATATTTCTTTTTCAGATACATTCGACAAAATCTCGAACTCCTTTCAATTTTTTAGAAATGTAGAACAAAAGATTTATTGACGTAAATTTTGCCATTAATCAATTGTATATATGTAGAACAAAAGATTTATTGTAAATTTTGTTAATCAATTGTATATGTATATATGTAGGTTTCATCGTAGTATATAATAAACAAGGTTCGTATTACTAGCCGTTACAATTAATATGCCAAGTATAGAAAATGTGAGAAAGAAGGCGAAAAACCAAAAGTTCGAAACTTGAAACTATAAAACTACTTTACAAGAAAAGAAAAAAAAAATCCCAATGGACAAATGCTCAATATCATACTGTACTTGCTTATATGACATGACAATCTTCACAATGTATCTCAAATCTCGACTAATAAAATAAGTAGATGCTACATAAATTATTATCCCAAAACAATGCGTATCATACTGTACTTGCTTATATGACATGACAATCTTCACAATGTATTTCAAATCTCGACTAATAAAATAAGTAGATGCTACGTAAATTATTATCCCAAAACAATTTTGTTGCTTGTGCATATACACAAATAAGTATTTACACGCGTGTATATACGAGCACGAGTGAAAAATAAAAGATGGAAAAAAAGAAAGAGAAAAGGAAAAGATGCTGGTTTGTTCAAAACGTTTCGATTCTACGTTTCGCCAATACGAAACGCTGTGGCCCATAAACCTTGGCGAACGTTCACATATTACCTTGCCGTACGATATAAACGGCAGCCTGTTTCACCACCTAAGCTACCTTTGAAATAGCGAACACATACAAGATCCGACTACGATGACTGGAATAAATATATAGGATCATCGGTCGGTGTTTACGGCATAACAATTTCAACATCCACAAAAACGAGAGACAACGGTTGACGAAGATAGTCGAGGAGGTTTTCCTTGAATGCATAAGGAATTCCTTAGACCGGGCGGCTATCGACAAGCGACACGGCAAATTCACCGAACATATTTTGATCGGGTAGTACGCAAGGTGAGGGAACTAGTTTTTGGATTTTTTCGCCGGGATCATTCCGTGATTGCATGCTTCTACGAGCCGCTGGAATGAACGTTTGCGTCTTTCTATTATAAGATGATAGTCAGAATATTGCCGTGCATTTATTCATACGAAGGCACGTGGGTGTCGTGTCGTGTCGTGTCGCATTGGTGTGTGCCTTCTATCCATCGAACATTTGAAATTTCACAATACCATTTCGAACGATTAACTCGTAAAAAGGAATGTATGTAGTTGGTAAAAAAATAACTGCGCTCGTTCGTGTGCAAATAAAAAGTGAATTTTTCGTAAGAGATAAAAATTGTATAATATATTGCTCACTTTTGATTACCTTTTGCTATCTTTCAAGTAACTTCGTGATTCCGCGTTCAAAAAAAAGTTATTTTTTGCGACAAAAAAATGTTCCAAGAACGACTTGATATCTTTATCAGAAGATAAAATTTAGCAAACCAATTCTGACAGTTTTAAACTTTCTTCAGCATACACGGACATCAGATAATGTTTTATGAGCTTGCACAGAGTTTTCTTCCTTTTCGGAGATAGTACAACAGAATGTTAATGAAAATGTTCCTCACGCCAAACAAACAATTGTTAACGAGATTGTGCATTTTCTTTTTCTAAAAGCTTGAACAATCAGATTAGACAATGAATTTGCGATTTAAAATGAAGTCAGTTAACATTTTAAGATATACATGTATGTTCATCTATTTAAAAAGAACGCATTACTTTTCGGCTAACCCAATAAAATATTTCCGTTGAAAATCCGTCAACAATATCATTTTCAATTTTCTTTTATTTTCCATAAAATGTAAAAACAAAAAGTAAATGTTTGAAACGATGTTTCACGTACGTGATAAACTCTTGATTTTTTTCATTTTGTAAAAATTTACAACCGTATAATACAACTGGTAGATAATAATATTTCAGTTTAACATAGGTTCGAAATAGAATTTCGGTGAATTTCTAGAACTTGAGACATGTGTTTTATGTGAAACTTGTATAAATGAACATGCGCATACGTAATGTGAGAATGTCACTATTGCAGCCTAGACTTGGGAAAGAAAACCGTAATCTTGTAGTTCTTGTTCTAAGTTTGACGTTCTCATTTGGTTTACGACACGTTACAACTAAAGTTCACGCAACATCATATAGATCTTAAATCTTCGTAATGTTCGAACATTGCTTTCGATTCGTATACGATTAACTACGCGTGAGATAGATTTAGAACTGAAGTTATTAATTTTATACACATACATACATATGTATATATTTACTGACAAAAATTAAGAAACAATTTAGTTATAGGTACAGTAAATCATTATTTGAACACCTGCATATTCGGCTAAATATTGAAACTGTTATAATTTTATATGAAGAAATCGTACAATAATGAAACTTTGGATTGATTTTAAATCAAAGTCTCCAAATGCGTCGTTCATTTTATCCTAAGAGTTTTTACATCGTAGCGAATGACAAAGTGAAGACATTTTCCTTCTCGAAAATGCTATAAATTGTTATAGTATATAAAAAATTATTTTTTATGGATTTAAAGGTTTAAGTTTCTTTTTTACAATTATCCCTTACAAGTTGTTGCCATTGAATTTTGAATAGCAGGTGAAAATGAATATAACGATCAAAATGCGATTGCTTAAATTTTTGTCGTCTAAGTCTAATTTTCAATGTTTAATAAAATAGTGAAAAAAAAAATCATACATCAAGTTTTCGGGAGTCGTTGTAAAGGAGAAACTTCAAATCTATTGTAAATCCAGTTTGTAGCATTTTTACATGATGTAAAAGTGAACGATATATTTTAAAAATAGAGATATTATTATACGATATTTCTTTTTTTACACAATTATAGCAGTTTCAATATTTAATGTCCGAATATTTAGATATCTGAATAATATTGTAAATCACTGTATATAACAGTGTTATACATATTTAAATGTACATTAGATGTATTTTTTTATTATAAATGATGTATTTTTTATTTTATGTAAATGTATATTTATTAGATATATTTTTTTATTATATTTATATTTATGCAATTATATGAGTAATCATTGTGTGTGTCAAAATACAATATATATATATATATATATATATATATTTTGTGTGTGTTGAAATAATAGATAAATGTTCTATATTCTATGAATTTTTCAATTAGATATTTGCAATGACAATATTTTTAATGATGCAATAAACAGATAGCTTCAAACCAGTTACTGTTTGTTAATACAAGTAAAAAATAATATAGAAAACTTGTAAAATCATATATCATATCTAAGAAAGAATGCTAAATATTCTTTCGAAGTAGTTCTTCTAATGGAACAAAATATTGATCTAATTTAGAGATCAAATCAATCTTCAGGCTCACATCCAACGAAATGCTTGATGAAATTATATCAAACGTCGAGTGAGAGTTCATTCTTTTATTAATAAAGCAGAATTAATAGACAAAAATTACAAAAATATCATTTGATATCAACTGAGTTTTGTGTTAGATCAACTGAATCAGTGTTTCGTAAATTCCGCAGTTATGAAAATATAAAAGTTTTTCGATATTAGAATTCTACGAAGAATTAGACTGTATGAAAAAAACAGAATAAATATTTATACTATTTTTATTAAAAATGATTATACGAATGAAGCACAATATTATTTTAATTTCCGTTTAATTTTTCCTTTCAATTGTGACCTTCATAAAAGTAGGTTCCAAAAAGTACTAGTATTTTATTAATGTATGATATATTATACTATTTTTATTTTTAATTTATACGTCTCTAAAATTGAAGAATGAACAATAGTTTCTTGAAGAATATATTGTTTCTTAATATAAATAAACCATGCAATAACATATTATACCATACTATAACATACTGCACCTTACTTTACAATAGTATTCCATATTAACCATATTATACAATGATATACCATATTATGCCACATTATAACTTGTTATACCTTATTACACCATATTACAACACATTATACCATACTGTACCGTACTACAGCATATTATGCCATATTATTCCATATTAAACATATTATACCATAGTATACCGTACTATACACATTATACCATACAACATATTAAACCATTGCACACAATAATGTAACATACTTTGCAATATCATAACATATTACACCATATTATAATCTATGTTCTGGCCATTATATCGACAGAATTATTTTATTGTTAAAGAATAGGACAGCTATTCGATTGATAAATTTCAACAACGTAACTGGTACAAATTGTAGCTTGCAGAGCCAAATTTGGCATTCTATTCAGTTTCAAATCGTGTAATTACTATTTTCCTTCTTGGCGTTGTCTATTAATGAATTCGTAAACATTCATCGCAGCATTCATTTACATTTCTTGATAGTAATCGATTAATCGATTGCACGCGCTCATGCATATTTGATTCGACACGTAAGTAATTTACACGGGAAACAAAGAGAAGAAACAGCGAATGTCTATGTTTAGTGATTTTAACGTACATTATGTACTTCGAGTATTCAGTAAATGAATGTTACTGACATCATACAAAAAATTATCATATCAGCATCCTATCATGCTCTTCTTAGAATGAAATATTCATAGTAATTCCAGTGGAAATCCACAGATTTTTCACAAAAGCATTCTCCTTCTTAGCTACAGTCTGTATTGAATCAGTTGTTCTCATGGCGTCCTATAGATTCAGGGTAAATCTTGTTACTTGAAGTATTTACAATTTATTTATGATAAATTTGTTTTTATAATTACATTCTTTAGATATTCCGCTTATGAACAAGATAGTGTATGAATAATGGATTTTTAAGAATTATTGACCGTAGTTAGAAAATTCTGAGTCATCAGATTTCTAATGATGATAACTATTAAAAAGACAATCACACGATTGAAAAATGCAAATAAAGAATCTGCAAAAATTAAATAAACTTGAATTATTCACAGTTTATACATGTAGAATACAAGTGAATGTTAAAAATTAAAATGTTCATTCACTAGACAAGACATTTTGATACACTTTATTACCGACCGAACTAAGGAGAATAAGATTGTCATATCGCGTAAAGATAAGTGTTTACAATTATGTACGTCTATATTATATCTAATAATAAATCTTCGTGCATAAAAAATGAGCTAGAATATTCAATTAATAAAACAACTAGACAATTCTTCGTTCCGACAAATACAAAGGATAGATAAAGATTTGATAATTATCTAGAAAAGGATTCCTTCCTAATCTTAATGACTTTGAAATATGTTGTGAAGGAAAAGTTGTTCAGAATATTAATTTTGATGACGTATTTTAAGATCATTCGAAATCGGCGAGGAGTCCCCTTTTCTCGATAATTATCGAAGATTTGAAAGTTGAAGATAAGATGATTCGGGCTCCTAGTTCCAAATTCCGCATTGCAATTTGTAAGAGCAGCAAAGATTTCCAGCAAAGATCTATACCGGGTAGTCGTTAGCTGCTAACGCGGTCACGATTTCCGCGTTTTCAGCAGGGCAATTCGTGTTCAACGATCGCGAGCTCGTTTCGCGATTCGTTCGAGTCAACGCGATCTCACCGACATCGATCTTCCTCGCACCATGGATACGCGTATAACGGACTTTGGGCTTTTCCGAACTTAGAAGGAGGCGCACGAGCGCGAATCGATGGGCTAATAAAACGCGTCGCGACAGCAACGCAATTAAATGACTGATTTATGACTCTTACCAACATTATACATATCTGTACCAAATACTTGTTAGGTTAGTTTGCTAATGACGTTCCAACGGCGCTTACATATCCATTATGAGACGTTCACGTCCGCATATTTAACTAACGCATAGATACACTAGCGTCCAAATACGATCGCGAATACTTTTCCGTAAGACAGCATTTTTGTGCATACAATATGACTAGATTATACTAATAAACAGTGTCGATTCATTATACAGGGTGAGCAACGTGACGACATCAAATAACTCATAAAATATTTGTCGTACGGAAAAATGTTTCAGATAGCTTTATCCGAATTCGGGATGGAATATTAACTATTCCATTTAAAAAATTGAAGGTGATCTTCATATCTTAATAAATAATATATAAAATAACATAAAACTGATTACAGTACTATATGTCCCCCTGGAAGCCATGCAACTTCTATCTGAAACATTTTTTCGTACGACAAATATTTTATAAGTTATGTGATGTCGTCACGTTGCTCACCCTGTATAATGAATCGACACTGTTTATTAGTATAATCTAGTCATATTGTATGCACAAAAATACTGTCTTACGGAAAAGTATTCGCGATCGTATTTGGACGCTATCTATGCGTGTATCTATGCGTTAGCTAAATATGTGGACGTGAACATCTCATAATGGGTATGTAAGCGCCGTTGGAACGTCATTAGCAAACTAACCTAACACATTATGAAACTTCTGACCTGAAATATTTTTTTCGTACAACAAATATGAGTTACTTGATGTCGTCATGTTACGAGACTCACCCTATATATCGATAAGTTAGAATATATTTATATAGGAATGCTGTGTAAATGATCGTTTGCATGTTCGTTCGTACCGTGAATGGAATGAACGATTGAATGGCTATATTACTATTATATAAACCGATGCCACGCAACGTTACGACGTTGCCAGTGAGACTCGTTAGTGATTCGAAAATCACCAAAGCAGCAAACTACACTCACGACGTGTTCGAGTCATCTACCTTTTGGCCGACGATTATAATATTTCAAGAATTAGCTGCATACAATTATACTTGTCTCGATCAATTTCATCGATTTATTCAAGATAAATGTATAGAAAAAAATCTACGTACAGGATATCTCGAATCAAACTCCAATCATAAATAGCAGAAAATACGAACAAAATTTTATCAAATAATTTTAATACTATTTAAATATTTAAATAAAAATTTTAAATATTATGAAGATTTTATAAATAGCTAAATATTTTAAAGATTTTAGGACATAATGATAAGTTACAATTAAACTAATGAAAAGATAATTTATGTCTAAAAAAATATGAAAAAGAATTTGAAAGCTTGCATACAGCTGGAAAGTTAGATAATTGAAAACGGTGTAAAAACCAGTAGTTAACTGTTTCGTCAATAAAAAAATTCCTTTATTTTAAATTAACAATTTATTATTTGTAATTTTTCGCTTGGAAGCGTTTTTTAAAAGTTTTACAAATTGAAATTAAAGATAATAATCTTGACTATGGTGATTAGGTACTTATCAAGTTCAGCTGTTACTACATAGTTGTTTTCATTTCTATTGGAAGTAACAAAGTAAAGAAATTGAAGGAATTACACGGCAAAAATGCTGATTATCTTTCTGTTTGCAAGATTGAAACTAAAAAGATTCGAAAATGAAACGAATAGGAACTAATTTATTTTGCTATTATGTATAGTAAAAGATCATACGAAGATATGTTCTAACGTTCAAGTTAATAAGTTATTAATAATAAAATATTCTTAAATATTTTTCTTTTGCATTTGGTTTTGTTTTTATATATTTATCGAGCATGCGATATGTATGAAAGATATTACATTGATTCAGAAGATATTACTAGACAGAAAATACTATAGGATTGCAAAATGACTTGTTATATTTAATGCTTTCTTTGACGAAGAAACATTTCGAATGCAATTGTATTTTCTACAATTATTATATTTATCATTGCTTTTATGCGCGTTATAAATAATTAAATATTTCTCGATTTCATTAAAATAATATTAGTTACCTTTAATAGAATATCTTTCTAATTTATATTTTTGTGGTAATTTAATTAAAACTTTCGCTACTTTATACTTCTTTATCGTTTAATTTTATCCACAATAAGTTTCGTAATAAAATGACAAAAATTAATTTTCGATCATTGTATACATATAGGGCATTTTTTTTAACAACTTGAACTATTAATTAAATTGTGAAATTTTTTCATTACCAACGTGTGAGTACAGACTATGGTTGACGCATCCAATCGTTATAGTAAGCGCACTTGATATATATACACCTGATATGTAAATCTAAATGTTTGTAAGTACATGCATACTCATTGATAGATAGTGCTGATTCCAGGCGCCTAGCTCGTGTTATGAAAACCGGATTCGAGCGATGCACTGCAGCGCTGTACTAATGAGAAGCACCTTTCGTAGTATTTTTCTTCCTTTCTACTACATGATTGATCCCCTTAGAGTACACTCGAGAAATAATAAAAACAGCTATATATTTATTTCACAGCGAAACGAATCCCTCGATCAGAGTAAATTTTAACATAAAATAAATTGAACCAACCGCTGATATTTATAATCACGAGTGACATTTTCTCTATTTTATATAAAATATATATATAAATATATTTATGCACTCTACTGCATAAATATTCGGAAGTTATATCAATTTTAAAATTTTAATTCGTTTCAATTAATAGTTCATCGTTCATCATTTGAAATGATCATACGAAAAATTGTTTTATATAACATGATAATTTTTAACATTCTTATCTATAATTAAATTAATTCGCAATCTGGTATTCGCTTTATATTTATTTTTCTCTTTATTTAACTTTCTATTTTTGTATTTATTATATTTATTTTTCTCTTTATATTTAATTTTCTATTTTTATATTTATTATATTTATTTTCCTCTTTATATTTAATTTTCTATTTTTATATTTATTATATTTATTTATTTTTCCTGTTATATTTATTTTTCTAGTTCTGTATTCTAGCCATTATGATTAATTAGGTGAATACATCTGTATCACAATGAGTTGTATAAATTTTCTTTTACGCATTGCATAATAAATATTTAATCACATCTAGTCTTTTTACAATAAAATCAAAGATATAAAAAAAAAAAAGATTTTAAAAGACACTTTTTAAAATCGAAATTAAAAATACCTGAACTTGTTCGTAAAATTATTACTCACTTAAAAAGATATAAAATAATTATTTTTTAATTATTAGAATGATGTATAATACTGAAATACCGGATGAGTAAAAACGGTTAGAGTGCGTCTTTGTATGTTCTCAAGTTACACTCGAAAGTCAATAACATCGCAGGTGAAAAGCTACGAAGCCTGCTCGCGAGACTTGCGGAAATTGGCAACTGCGGCTTGCCTTTGTCCAGTGACGAACGTTTCAATCAACGTAAAACGGACGACCATCAGTCAATGGTGCAGTAATTGGAATCAAGCAGAGCGAGCAGTGGTCGCGCACAAAAGACCAAAACAGATAGTCAACCGACTAATTATGAAACATCTCCGCGCTTTCATTCGAATCTTTAAACGTCTAAACTCTAAATCAGCGACCGTTTACGGCGATCGACTCAGCTGGGTTCTGCTCGGCGCGATTTTCTCGTGGTTGTACTGCAAGTACTTACAAGAGAGCGTGTGTAGTGTGCACCGACCGATCGATCGATCGACCGACCGACCGACCGACCGAGCCACGGTCCTCAAGAAGATGGAAGGGATCTCCTCGAACACGACCCACCTTTCCATTTTCTTTAAAGACACCGTTCCACGCTCCGATGGTATGCCTGAACAAACCAGTTCTAAGCGTATGCATACGATACTCGTCTCCCGACGTGAACCACTCGAGTGCTATTTTATGATCTGGCCGCGGTCAGAACCGAACCTGCGTCTCTGTGAGTCTCTGTTACTCCTTTTTCTGCTCAAGAAAAATTAAATCGTTCAATATGAAGCATGAATCCTAGCCGACTCGCGTGCTACAGAATGTAGCATTTGCAATCTTTTCCTTTATCGCGTTATCGTCCTTGGTGCAAAATGAGTCCACACAAAATTGATTACCTTCTGTCACATTCTTTTTTTTCTTTCTACTTGCGTATATATGTACATACGTGTTTCTTCTTATTTGTTCATTCAGTCGAATTTTTGCGATAATGCTGGCCAGTAACGTTGATGCGAATCAGAACAACGATTTTAAACGTTTTACTCTGTGCTTACGTGTGCCACACCTGATTCAAATTCCTTCGATTAACAATAATAATAATTAATATCAATAATAATAATATTGATCAATAATCAATTCGATTAACAACAATAATAATAAAAAACAAATTAAACAATCGAACACGTATTAAAAAAAACACAAATGGCAAAATAATCCATTTGAAATGTTAACGATTATTTTTCCTTTTTAATTCACTGAAAAATTTGGATTATTTTTACATTCGAACTTACGCATACGTAAATATCTTTCTTATGAAACGACTTCAACCATAGATGTTACCTATATATCAGCTAATTTACTAATAAATTAAAGTTAGTGCACTGCTATTGTCTCCTGTAATTCTCATGGAATTGCACGAATGACCTGGATTCATGATTTGCGTTTAAGCTGTGATGAAACTCGACGTAATGAGACCACAATATTGCGGTGATCCATTGTGTGGATCTCAATTTGTAATCTGTACAAGATGTATAAAACCATCCTCTTTACCGTAAATTTAATCAATATCTTGGTAACATTGAAACTTTCGGATGGGAATTGGAAAATTAAACCTTGCTCTTTGTTGGATTTAACGTCAATCATTTTTCAGAGGAAAATTTATTTTTAGTCGTGTCATCAGACGATCCCTTCATCAAAATCTCTGGTGCAAAAAGTACGATCAACAAAGACATATAAAAGAAAAACAGCAATATTCAAACCATACTGTCAATGTTTTTTTATTATGCTCCATTATTATTTTTATATTACTAGGCAGAGGTGGATTTATTTTGATGCTAATGATGCTATAAGCGGATCCTTAAAAGTGCTTGTCAAAAAAAAAAAAAAAAAAAATGAATTAACGATTATTGAAATCGAGAAACGATTGAACTTTCTAATAATTCAAAATAATTGTCATGAAACAATGTTGAAATAATAAAACAATTTGTATAGACGAAAATCAATACTCATTTAATTTACAA